GAGGAAGGGAGAGGAGAGGAAGGAGGGGAGGTGGAGGGAGGGGAAGGGAGAGGAAATGAGGAGGGGAAGGGAGGAGAAGGGAGAAATCTAGAGCCAAGTTGTTTTGGGAAAGAAGAGATGATCTGTAAGTCACATCAGAAAAGTCAGTAAATATGAGGGCAGAAAAGAGATTTGGCATTTAGGGAATCATAAATGCCATTTGCAAGAGGAAGATTTATATGATGGTTGAGCAGAAGCCAGATGTCAGAGGGTGAAGAATGGTGATATGGGGGAAATGGAAACAAGGAGAGAGAGCCCTTTCAAGAAGTGTGGTGGTGAAGGTAAGGAGAAATGGCAGAAGATATAGAGGAGATCAAGGAGAGAGAAGGGTATTTTTAGTGCTATTAATTTTGGTGGTTGATTGATTTTAAGATATGGATAAGCATGAGCATGTTTACATTCAAAAGAGGGGTAGAAATTTAAGCTCCTAGAGAGAATGAAAGATTTAGGATGTGGATTTCAAGTTGGTGAGGTGAGAGAGCCTCAAAAGCCCAGAGAAAAGAGTGATTCATGGAAAGGTGGAGAGACAGGTCTTTCTCTAAAACCAAGGGTGATACCATTGCAAAATTTGAACAAGGAGAAGGGGTAAGTGGAGGGAGTTCATCCCTGGCAACTTTGATTTTCTTTGTGAAGAAGGAAGGTTATCTTTTGAGAGTAAAGTACAAAGGAGCAGAGCTTGAGAGAAAAAAAAAAAAAAACTTACAAAAGGAAGATATATCTGCCCTTGTTTCCAGAACCAACTTGAAGACAAGAAAAAGAAGGCCAAGCAGCTGAAGAAATAAGTGGCAAAAAGTAGTTTAGAAAAAAAAGATTCAGTCAGTCACTCACTCTTTCAGTCAACAAATGTTTGGGGAACAAGAATGTGGTAGGTAGCCACTAAGGTGGTCCCCAAGATTCTCACCTCATGGAAATAACACCCTTGCATAGTCCCTTCTCTTGAGTGTGAGCTAGACTTTTTGACTCAATTCAAAGAAATATAAAATTACAGAAGTAATGTGTTTTTACTTCTGAGATTAGATTATGAAACTACTGTGTTTTCTTCCTTGGGTGTTTTCTCTCCCTCTTGCTCTCCTAATCCCTTGTTTACTCACTCTGGAGGAAGCCAGCTGCTCTGTGGGGAGCAGTTATGAGATTATTTATAGGGAAGCCCATGTGACAAACAACTGAGAGAAGCCTCCAGCAACAGCCAGTGAAAACAGAGGCCTTCAGTTCAACAATCTGGTAAATGAGCTTGGAAGTGGATCTTTTTCTCAGTCAAGCATTCAGATGAGACCACAGCTCCAGTTGAACAAGTTAACTTCAATCTCACAAAAAAAACCCTAAGGCAGAGCTACCCAGCTAAGTCATGCCCAGATTCCTGATTCATAGAAACTGTAATATAATTAACATTTATTGTTTTTAGCTACTAAGTTCAGGGGCAATTTGTTAAGCAGCAATAGATATAGTATAGAACAATGAACAAGCTGGACAGTAGTATCCTTGCTATCATGAAGCCTGCATTCCAGAAGAAAGGACATAAAATAAACAAGTAAAATATGTACATACAAGTATGAAAATGGTAAAGTAGGACAATGTGGTAGGGAGTGATGATGGAAAAGATTAGAAGATCCACTCAGAAAAGGCCTCTTTGAAGAAGTGACATTTGAGCAGAGTTGACAATAATGGGTTGCCAAGTAAGATCTGAGGGAAGAGCATTCCAGGCTGAAGGAATAGTGAGTGCAAAGGCCCTAAGACATGGACAACTTGGTGTTGTTCTTGAAGAAAGGCAGCCAGAGTGGATGGAGCACAGTGGCTGAGGTAGACCGGATGGGAGAAAAGTTGAAGAAGCCATACCATTCAGACCCTCAAAGGCTATGATTAGGAGACTTAGGCACTTATTCTAAGGACAATGGTTGGGACATCATCTCACAAAGATGAGTGGGCATTTCAGGACTTTCCTTATTTATTTATATTTATATTTATATTTATATTTATATTTATATTTATATTTATATTTATATCAGGACTTTTCTTAAAGTGCAAAATCCTAGCATCAACTCCTACCATCTCTGTTGGAACCTAGTTGCCTCCCACTTCTGCACCTAGATCCCTAAGTCACCCCTCAGGCTGTGAATAGTCCCCATCCCAGTCCTGCCCTTATGCTCACACTACCCATCTGTATTCTTTGCCAAAGGCCACCTACCTCTGAGGCTCTCTGGGAATCTCTGGGGCTGCTGCCGTAGGTTGGATCCAAACAGGAAGCATAAGCCATTCACATAGGTGTTCTCCTTACAAGTTTGGTGCACAGTGGGACCACAGGCCTGGGGGAAGGTTGCATGTGGGAGGGGCTGTTCCTGCTTCCTGTCCTTTTACCTCAGCATCGCCACCCTCCACAGACCCCAGCCCCAGCAGCCATAAGCCCCTGACTCCTTCTTTCAGAACAATCCCATGACCCAGGACAACTCACCAGCAGTCGAAAAGGGTTGGTGGCAAATGCCAGAGACAGGCCCAGAGACATGTTCACCGCCTCCAGGGGGACTGAGGAGACATATATATATATACATGGTCACCTTCAGGGGCATAAAATGGGCTATGTGAAGGTCAACAGAGGTCACTTTAACCTGGGAGACATGCAGACTAAACAGATCAAGGTGAACCTAAGTCACAGGAAAGGAACATGAAGGGGGTGCCTGAAAGTATCTGAGGTAGAGCCTGCATACAGCACAGACTGATGAACTGGATGCCTGAGCCCCCAACTACAGACGCTCAGAACAAAAGGAATGCCTGGCAAGTTCAGGTGTACACACAGGTGGAAGCCTAGCCCTGGATCCCAGGGAGGGGCAGTGACTCACCCTCCAGGGAGATAGGCTCACACTTGCCCGTGCTGTAGTCACACTGGTAGAGGCCACCTGTTTGGTTGGCAGCCTTTATCTCCTGGGGGGCTCCAACCACCAACCTGGGGGGAGAGTTAGGAAAAGATCACTACAGGGACAAGAGAAAACCATGGCATGTGGGAAAGAAGGAGACCATGGAAGTTCTGCCACTCAAAGGAAAGTGAGAAGAGACAACCCTCAGTATTTCCCAATTCCCTGAAATAGGAGGAAGATTCAGCAAAGAAAAAAAATGGGAAAAGTTTAAATATTGGAAGGGGAAGGGCCTCCTTAAGAATGACACAAAACCAAGAAGTCATTCAAAAGTTGTGGCATCCTGGGGCACCTGGGTGGCTCAGTCGGTTGAGCGGCTGACTTCAGCTCAGGTCACGATCTCACAGTTTGTGAGTTCAAGCCCCGCATCAGGCTCTGGGCTGATGGCTCAGAGCCTGGAGACTGCTTCCGATTCTGTGTCTCCCTCTCTCTGCCCCTCCCCCATTCATGCTCTGTCTCTCTCTGTCTCAAAAATAAATAAACATTAAAAAAAATTAAAAAAAAAAGTTGTTGCATCCTATATTGTACACCTGAAATTAATATAACACTGTATGTTAACTATACTGGAATTTAAAGAAAAATTTTGATGAATAAATTCAACCATTTTAAATTCAGTCATTTTGAATAAATTTCTGTATGTGATATCAGGGAAATGCAAATCAAAACTACAATGAGATATCACCTTGGGGGCACCTGGGTGGCTCAGTTGGTTAAGCATCTGACTTTGGCTTAGGTCATGATCTTGTGGTTCGTGAGTTCTCTCTGTTGTCAGCACGCTTCCGATCCTCTGTCTCCCTCCCTCTCTCTCTGTCCCTCCCCTGCTTGTGCACATGCTCTCTCTCTCAAAAATAAATAAACATTAAAAAAAATAATGATATATCACCTTATACCTATTAAAATGGCTAAAATCGAAAAACACAAGAAACAACAGGTATTGGTGAGGATATGGAGAAAGGGGAACCCTCACGCACTGTTGGTAGGATGCAAACTAGTGCAGCCACTCTGGAAAACAGTATTGAGTTCCCCCAAAAAGTTAAAAATAAAGCTATACTACGATCCAGCAATCGCACTACTGGATATTTACCCAAAGAATGCAAAACCAATAATTCAAAGGGATACATGCATCCCAATGTTTACAGCAGCATTATCTACAATAGCCAAATTATAGAAGAAATCCAATTGTTCATCAACTGATGAATGGATAAAGAAGATATGGTGTATTCTGAGCCTGGCTGGCTCAGTCAGTGGAGTGTGTGACTCTTGATCTTGGGTTGTGAGTTCAAACCCCACACTGGGTGTAGAGACTACTTAAAAATAAAATCTTAAAAAAAAAAGATGATGATGATGATAATATGATATATATATACACATATATATGTATATACACACACATACACGATGGAATATTAATAGCCATAAAAAAGAATGAAATCTTGCTGTTTGCAATGACATGGGTGGAGTTAGAGACTATTATGCTAGGTGAAATAAGTCAGTCAGAGAAAGACAAATACTGTATGATTTCACTCATATGTGGAATTTAAGAAACCAAGCAATAAGCGAAGGGACAAAAAAAGAGAAAGGCAAACCAAGAAACAGATTCTTAACTATAGAGAACAAAAACTTTTTTCTAAATTTCCGTATGTGAAAAACTACCATATACAAAGTTAAAGGACAAACAATAAACTGGTGAGAGGGAGATTAGCAACTCATGCCACAGACTACTTTCCTCAATATAGTCAGAGCTCCTACAAATCAATAAAGAAAAAAGAAATAAAACAATAGAAAAATGGGCAACAAATAAGAAAAAGGTTCACAGAAAAGGAAATACATTTCTCATTTAAAAACAAGTGCAATTTAAGGGGCACCTGCATGACTCCTGGGTAACTCAGTCAGTTGAGCATCCAGCTCTTGGTTTCAGCTCAGGTCATGATCTCACAGTTCATGAGTTTGAGTCCCTGACATAGCAGACCCTGCTTGGGATTCTGTCTCCCTCTCTGCCTGCCCCTCTCCTGCTCTCTCGCTCTGTCTCTCAAAATAAATAAACGCTTTAAAAAATAAAAATAAAAAATAAAAATAAGGGGCACCTGGGTGGCTAAGAGTCTGACTTCTGTTCAGTCATGATCTCAAAGTTTGTGAGTTAGAGCATCACACAGGGCTCTGCGTTGACAGTGAGGAGGCTATTTCAGATCCTCTGTCTCCCTCTCTCTCTGCCCCTTCCCAACTCGCACACATGAGCACCTGCACATTCTCTCTCTCAAAAATAAATATAAATAAATGAATAAATAAATAAATAAATGCAATTTAAAACTAAATTGAGATACCATATCTAACCTATTCAATTTGCAAAGATCAAGAAGTTTGATTACACATTGGGTTGGCAGGTGGGTGGGGAAGTAAGTGTTTCCATAAATTTCTGGTGTAAGTGCAAACTGTTTCCACCTCCACCAAGGGTAATCTGGAAACATCTATTAACATCACATATGCATTCCTTTGATCCAGGAATCCTAGTTCTAGGAATTTGCTTCCAAATATACTCACACATGTACAAAAGGACAGCATTTTTCACATCACAAAAATTTGGAAACAATCTAATGTCTATTAAGAAGAGATTTAAATGTAATATCAATGTAAACTATAGTACCTCAAAATAATAGAATATGATGCAAGAATTTAAAAGAATGAGTTAGGGGGCACCTGGGTGGCTCAGTTGGTTAAGTGTCCAACTTCAGCTCAGGTCATGATCTCATGGTTTGTGGTTCTAGTCCCACATCAGGCTCTGTGCTCACCAGAGCCTGAAGCCTGCTTCAGATTTGTGTCTCCTTCTCTCTCTCTCTCTCTCTCTCTCTGCCCCTCCCCTGCTTGTGCTCTCTCTCTCTCAAAAATAAATAAACATTTAAGAAAAAATTTTTAAGAATGGGTAAAGTTTTTATGCATGTATCTGGGAAAATTACCAAGCTCTATTAAGAAAAAAAAAAAGCGAAGTTCAGAATAGAGCAGAGGCTGGCAAACTTTTTGTGGAAAGGTAATACTATTTCCATAATTCTTTTTATATAGGCAAATATTTTAGGCTTTGCAAGCCATATACTCCCTGTTGAAGCCTCTTGATTCTCCCATTGTAGCTCCAAAGTGTCCATAAACAACGAATAGCAAGTTGGGATGAGGATGGGATCAATAAAATTTATTTACAAAAATAGGCAGCAGTAGTTTGAATACAATGTGTGCTACAAATTGTGTGGGGAATGGGAGTTAAGGAAATTTGGAGGTACACACAACATAGACTCTGCAAGGACCCACAAGAAACCATTTAACAGGGAACCTCCTGGGTAAAGAATATGGGAAGGGAGTATGTGCTGAGGAGACTTTTTACTATTGCACTCTTTAGGATCTTTTGAATTTAGAACTCTCTATCTGTATTACCTATACAAAAAGCAAATCAAGAAAAAAATCCACAAAATTGTGATTTTTTTTTCAAGTATATAAGTGTTAAAGAGAAGTGTAATACAGAGACCTCCACATGTGGTCCTTACCGGGATCCCTCAAGCTGGACCACACTTTGCCCGAAGCCCGCTGCATTCTCTTGGAATAGCGTTGCATGCTTAGTATCCAGGTTGAACCCATGACATAATAAAGCCAAGGCTGGAAGGAGGAGAAAGCCTGAGGGTCAGGAGGACATAAGGAGATAAGAAAGCAACTTGGATGTGAGGGTGATCTGGCTGCGACATCTGTCACCCCATTGATTGCCAGGGTTGATTCGGCTGATTTGACTGGCTAGGCGGGTGTCTCCTTCCTCCCTCACCACTCCATGTGCTTCCCTCCCAAAGTTGCGCGCTCGGTGGAAGAGGACGACCTTCCCTGACAGAGGAGGACCGTTCTTCCACCACAAGTATATGAGTAGCTGCGCTCCCATGCTAGAACCTCCAAACAAGCTCTCAAGGTCCATTTGTAGGAGAACGTAGGATAGTCAAGCTTCCAAGACTCCAGACACATCCAAATGAGGCGCTGCACGTGGCAGTCTGCCTTGCTTTATAAAAATAAAAATAACACTAATAATAATAAAAATAAATAAATTTTTTAAAAAAGCAACTTGCCCTCCTGCTCTGTGCATCTACCTGCTGGAATTCACCCTAACCCAGCATGGAGATATCTGCCTCCCAGGTCCAACTGTCTTACTGTCCAACTGTCTGAAGTGGAGGTTGGCACACTTTTTCTATAAAGGGCCAGATAGTAAATATTTTAGGTTTTGTGGGCCAAGAAGCAAGTAGAGTACATTAGGTAAGTACTTACACAACAAGAGAGAAAATGTATTTCCACAAATTTTTCACTAGGGAAATTCAAAATATAATAATTGAGTACAGCTTTTTTGTAATATAAATTTACTAATGAGACAAATGGAATTCTTTTGGGAAAATAACGTGTCACTTCACCGGGATTCAGAGTTAGCTTTCCTTATCATGAATCAATTGCAAATGTTCACCTGAGACCTATGGCTCACAGTACAAAAATAGGTAGGGGAATCCATGCCTTATGGCCACAGGCATAAGTTACTTTGCTGACTCTTGGCCCAAAGACCACTAATATGGGGTACAATCAGTCCCTCTCTGAGCTCCACCCTATGCTCCTACCCTGCTGATTTGCCTAACAAGTTCTTAAAGACTCTCTATTAGGCAATTTCCTTCATATGCAACTCTCAAGCATTTTTTTTTTCCTTTATTTGGCTCATTCTCCACAAACCACAGGCATGAAAGGAAGCAGATTTGAATCATTTTGGTCATTCAACAAACATTTACACCTGGTTCCTTGGAAAATAGAACTGTAGACAAAGTGGAGATGGTAAAATGGAATCCAAGAAACACTCTGAGAATCCAATATATGTTGACTTTTGGGCATATCATTCCACCTGTCTGGGACCTCAGTTTCCTCATCTGTAAAGTGAAGGGGACAGCCAAGCCCCATTGCATTGTCTGTAAATTTAAATATTCATCCAAGCTTCTCTGGTCATCCCATCTTGGTCTAGTTCTCTCTGCTTCTTAAATCCCTTGTCCTTCCTCAAATTCCCCCCATCTAACTCCTAGATATTCTGTGCCCTCTCTCTCCACTCAGAGACTCAAAAGGTCCCCATCTCCCCACTCTGATCACCCCACCACCACCAAGTCCCTAGGGTACCTGTTAACAGAAGAACTCTGTGAGTCATAGCTGGAGGGAGCAGAAACTGTGGAGCTGGATGCACCACTGAGCCACTTCAAGAAAGCCACCAAAGACAGGAAGGACAGAAAAGGAGAAGTAGGAGGCAGAAGTCTATTAGAGATTCAAAGGAAGAGGGCGGGGGCTTAGTGAGCACAGTCCTGCTCAACCTTCTTCCTTGGACTACAAACAGCCTGTGCTCCCTCCCTAACCATATTCCTGGCCCAAACCAAAAAGATCCCTGTCCCAAAGGTATTCTTTGCCCACCCACTTCTAGGGTTGGCCAAGCATTATGAAAAGCAACCTGAGGGGTGCCTGGGTGGCTCAGCTGGTTGACCATCTGACTCTTGATTTTGGCTCAGGTCATGATCCCAGGGTCCT